CCTCTTGGATTATGATCCTTGCTCCAACTATGGCAACTGGACATATGGAGCAGGTGATTCTCCCTTTATTATCTAGCTTTTATATCTCCACTTTCTCTGAACTGGAAGTTAGAATTGGAAGTTGAAAGTTACCATCTTCCCATTTCTGTCAGGTGTTGGCAATGACCCGAGAGAAGACCGTTACTTCAGCATTCCGAAGCAAGTAAGTGAATTAATGAATCCAATCTTTCTTCAATTATAATCACGTTCTCGGAATAAACCAACAAGGTGTCTAATGCCTATGTAATTTTCTATTTTGAACGGTGCAGTTTGAGTTTGTAAGTGCATATGAAAAACAGTTTAGTGAATGCTACCTCTATTCCCTTCCAATGAAGCAGCTATTATTCAAAATTATTTTTTACATGTTTCAGGCTCAAAACTATGATCCTGAAGGGGAGTTTGTTGCATACTGGTTACCAGAGTTAAGAGCACTTCCAAGAGAGAAAAGACACTCTCCTGGAATGATGTACTTAAATCCAATCGTAGCTCTCAAACATGGATATACCAAGAAGACTGGTGATTCAAAAACAGCCTTTTCATCAAGAAGAGGCAGACCAGAAGACAATAGACGAAAGCGACACGGCTACTGATTTTCAGGTCATAAGTCACGAAATTGCAACTGAGATGAGTTTGTTTGCTGCATAATATTCTTTATGTAATAAATACATCTGTGAGTAGAACTAGCCTGATCTCACCTGCGCTACTATACTGGGTATGTTGTTGTTGTCTGTTAGTAGAGCTAGCCTTGATCACATTGGGTATCTGGGAGCATGGAAATATGAAGATTGTGAAATTGGCTACTATTACTAGCTTTGTTTTATAGAAAGGAGAGAACAATCTAATTGAGTTTTTTGTTGTGTCCTGGAAAAGAAGTACCTTGAACCATCTTTTGCAGATTCTTTCATGGTGTAAGCCAGTCCATTTTGTGTAATCCTTAACATTTAAGTTTGATCCTTTGTCATATAACTCACAGGCTTATTATTGGAAGTTCCATTACTAGATTTTTGCACTTAAAATGAATGTAAATGAACTTTATTAGATATGATACAAAATAGTAAAGTAGCAAAAAGTCTCACTTATATAGCCCTTTATCTTTTAGGGTACACTTTAAACAAGAACATGAACATAACACATATTAAAAAAAATGTTGTAATCTCTTCATTTATTCTTCTAATAACTGCATTTGAAGCTATTCTTGCTCCCTGGGACTTGTGGGGATCAAGTAGAGGTCATCTTTGCTTGCTGCAAAAACTCTACTTGTTTCAGTAGTACGAAAATCGTTTGCATTAACCTTATCAGGGAGTTTCCAGTCGAATTGGTATAGAAACTGGGCTAAAGGATGCCCAGTGTTAACTAAACCAAACGACATTCCTGGACACATTCTTCTTCCTGAACCAAAGGGAATAAACTGATAGTGATTACCTGTAAGATCAACTGCAACATTTTCAAATCTCTCTGGTTTGAAACTTTCAGGATCTTCCCAACTTTCAGGATCTCTTCCAATCGCCCATGCATTAACCATTACTCTAGCATTAAGCGGTACAGTATATCCATCAATCTCAGTCTGCTCCCTGCACTCCCTAGGTCCTAACAAAGGAACTGGAGGATGCATCCTTAGTGTTTCCTTAATCACTGATTTCAAGTATGGCAACTTGTCAAGATCATTTTCATCGAAATTTTCATTATCTTTAAAGACTTGTCTCACTTCAGCTTGTGCCTTGGCCATAACATTTGGGTGCTTCATCATCTCTGTTAATGCCCATATAATAGCAGTATATGAAGTTTCTGTTCCAGCAATAAACAAGTCCTGCAAGAACGTATGCATGAACGTTTATTAGTATTGAGTACCCTGTAGTAAACAGAGTATATTAGTATTATGTTGTATCAAAACTTACCAGAATTACTGCTTTCATGTTGTCATTTTCAATAGGAAATTGAAGTTCATTGTTCTCTTTAGCTCTCAGTAAAGCATCAATCATATCTTCGCCACCAAACTCGTTATTTCCCTTTATACCTGCTGCATGATTCTGTTTGTGTTCATTGATGATATTCTCCATAATTTGATCATACTTATGATGTACATTTGTTAATCTAGCTTTCATGTTACTCATATTTTGAAGTAATTTCCAGGAAGGGAACAAATCACACACATCAAATCCTCCTGATAATGCTAATATCTCCCTTATAAGCATGATCAGTTCATCTCGATCGTTGCATATTTTTCCAAATGCTAATCTACAGGTCATGCAGCTGGTAAACCAGAGAAGCTTTTCTGTTATGTTAACTGCAGAACCTGTTGCCAAACGAATCGATGAGAGGAGCTTTGACAGCTCATCTTTTCGGATCATGTTATATGACTTGACCATCTTGTTATTGAGTAGTTCTTGTGTTAACACTTTACGCATTTGTCTCCAGTAATCACCATATGGGGCGAAAGATATGTCCCTACTTTTGTAAAACACAATGTCTGAGGCCATGAACTGTGGCCTAGTTGCAAAAGCGAGGTCATGAGTTTTCAGTACAGCTTTTGCTATGCGAGGTGATGATATGACAACTACAGGAACTTCTCCGAGTTGTAAGTACATGAGAGGTCCATGTTTTCGAGCTAAATCTCGAAGGTTATGATGTGGTAGTTTACCCTTCAAGTGATGAAGGTTTCCAATAAGAGGAAGTCTCCATGGACCTGGAGGTAATTTTGTGTTTTTTGTGTTACATTTATTCAATAGGATATAAAGAAATGAAAAGAAGAGAAACAAAGGAAATAAGTTGAAAGGAGAAAATTGAATCTCCATTTTAGTAAGTAAAGGAAATAAATATTTTGATGGATATGTTGCTTATGAAAGTGGATTTAATAAGTTATTATATATATATATATACACACACACATACACACACAAGTAGAAGAATTAACATGTGATTGATTGAGACTTTAGAACAACAATAATTTTGGGCTTGACATATTTTACTTTGAAACCTTCTAGTGTTTCAGTCTAACAAAAAATTTTCAAAAAAATATACAATTTCTTTGAAAATATTTACGTCATGTAGCCGAATATACATTATCATAATCATTGTATATAATGTATCAAACTTGTATAAAAGGCGTATGGATTAAAAGTTGGCCTGCTTATTTTCACTACATGTTTTTTTTATTATTATTACAGTTCTATTAACATTGTATAATTTCACATATTGACTTTTAACTTTTATTATAATATAAAAATACTAAAGTTAACAAATAGAATCACTCAACTTTAGTGAAAATCACAGACAGCTACTAAATAATTTTTTTTTTGGTTGAAAGAAGTGATTCAATCTTGTTTAATTGTCATATAAAAACTGTGTTTTATTTTCTCCAAATGTCCTTTTGTGAAACTTATATAAATTTGAGTGATTTTTTTTGTTTCCTATAAAGAAAAAAAATATTTAGTGATACTCAAATGTATTTAATAACTTTTGTGCAAAAATGTGAAAGCTAAGTGATTTTTTTTTTTGTGGAATTTCAAGAGAAAAAAAGAAGAAGCAGTATTCATAATATTATTTAGCTTCATTCTTTCACATCTTGTTTATGAGTATTATGAAATATAAAAAATTGTATCAAAAAAGCCCATAAGTCATTAAAACGACATAGGAGTACCCTTTTTTTTCTATTTGGTATATTTATTGTGATTGAATGCGATTAGCCAAAACTCTATTACATTTCCCATCATTGAAATTCATAATACTCCCTCAGTCCGGTATTGTCTGTCATGATTTCTATTTTTAGAGTTATAACTATAAAAACTTTGACTAACATTTTAATATGTATTTTTTTAATCATATTAATATGCAAAAAATTGTAATTTATAGTACTTTCCATATAGTTTTAGAATGTCTAATTTTTTTTATTTAAAATATCGAATTAATGTGATCTAATTTATCTTTGAAAATTAGTCAAATTAACTTTCGATAAGCGTAACATGACAAACAATTTCGAACAAAGGGAGTATTTGGCTGCCTTTAAGGACTTCACATTTCAACCATTGAATATTTCGATTACTTTCTTTTTTGTTGATCTTTATTAGTTTTTTGAATTTTGAGATATATTCTAAGTAAAATATCCTCAAAGAAAATGTTCGATACGGCTTAAGCTTTGATGAAGTTGGTATAAATATTTAATCCAAATTCATTGACCATTGATTTAGTAGGAACCTCAAAATTGACTTTTTTTTAAAAAAAAATAATTAACTATAGAAAATTGTCACATCATTTTTCCATTGTAATATATAAAAGTATTAATTGAAACAAAGGTATTTGATTGAAATGGTGAGCTATAGAATCAAAATTGAGATTGAATTGTCATTTTTATATTCCTTTTGACGGTACGGAGTCGCTCTAATAAAATGTTATTATTAGTTATATGGATTCGTACTACTTTTTTTTTTATATAGTTTTTAAATATATAATTTCGAAATTCTTAAAATAATTTAATGGTCGAAGAAAATTAACTTGTTTGAGCCTAAAGTTCCTAGGATTCATAAGGCTTTACTAGGGTGTGTTTCGGTTGATTTGGTTCGATTTTACATATTATTGATACGGTTTATCGGTTTTCGATTTTCAAATACTTTTAACCAAAAAATATACCTACAAGATATTTTTATCAGGTTTTGATTTATCGATTTTGGTCGTTAATGGTTCGATTTTCGATTTAACCAATAAGGAAATACTTATAAAACAAATATATGACTTCTCTAATCAATTTGACGCGACAACACAATAATGTAACTTTACAAATGGTCATAAAACAGAAACGATAATAACAAATAAAGAACTAACAAGGTAACACAAAGAGGAATTAAAAGTAATAAGGTTTTTACTTTATATTTTGACGTTTTGTATAATGTGAAGTTGTGAACTCAAAGTCACCGTATGAATTGAAGGCGAAAGGACAAAGATGGTAAGTCAGAAACCATAGTAGGGTCTTGAGATTAATATATAATATTTATGTAAAAATAAAAATAGTAAATTAATTACTAGTCTTAATGGGTTATCTGTTTACCCAATATTAAAAATCAACACCAAAACAAAAACTCAATAACTTTATATTATAAAACCGTTAAAATCTCGTTAACCCAGTAACAATAAATCAATAACATTTTTTGTTCGATTCTGTTTTTGCACACTCCTAACCTCCAACCCCTTTCTTACTTAACTAGTGTAGAAACTCTTTCATATCAAATAAAGCTTCAATCCCCTGCATATATATACAATATACCAAAGTAGGCTAATTAGTAAATGTGAACAATGGAACTTAATATGCTATTTAACTCGACGATATTTATGCCCTCCAACTTCAGTGGTTTGTACACAGGTATGTACTGGAACTTGTATAAAATTATTGAACAAGAAGACACACGCATTCTACATGCATAATACACCTAAGACACGAAATTGCTATGTAGGATGCCGCATAGAATGAATGTTTTTATTTATTTAGTTTTATACAAGTTTAAGTACCTACTTGTGTACATCAATACCCCGAGAAGCTTGAAATGGGTTTACTCTAAACATAAAGTCAGGATATAAGTAGATAGATCTGTCATTTGATGGTAATAGATTGCAGTGATCAATAGCTGAATATCCGCGTTTATTTTGAAAACTGAAATGCTTCTGTGCAGAAACAGTTTGAGACTATGTTAGGATTTGCATACATTGCTACCTTTGTTTCCCTAGTAGTCAATAAGATTCGACTCCTACGGTTGTAATCAGAAAATGAATGCTATCCCAAACATCCGTACTCCAAATATCATCAACAACAACAAGGTATCTTCGACCCTTTAGGCTTTTTTGCACCAGGTCGGCTAACTCATTGTCATCCTTCACATTATACTCTTTTTCGATGTCAATATTTGTTTGCTTTGAAATGCAATGTAAAGCTTCTAACAACACATTTCTTCTTCCATATTCTTGAGATATTGTAATCCAAACACGAATGTCAAAATGATAGCTGAGTTTTGGGTGATCATAAGCTTTTCTAGCGAGTGATGATTTGCCTATGCAACCCATGCCTGATATTGTGACAATGTCACAACTGTCCTGTCAGTTTTTCATCTATTATCTCCAGGTCATCATCAAGCCCGTGCACGATATCTTCTTCCAAATGTTGCAGTGTTGGATTGCTAATCAAGGAATCCCCATCAGATTCAAGATTTTGATCAACATGAGTGCTTGAGGTAAACTCAAAAACAATCTCCATCACTTCGTTCTTTTGTGTACCGATTTTTTCATCAACTGATAGAAAATTCTTGAACAAGAAGGGTATCGAGCATTTTAGCCATTTGACCCTGAATGAGGTCTGGATGTCTCTGCTGAAGTTTCTTAAGAGACTTGAAAGCTTAGTATCACAATATAAAACTTCTCAGTTTTTTCAACTATCTTTCTTTCAATCTTTAATCCCACAACTTGTTGTATAATATCATTTAGTTACTTTCCTACACCACTTCATCATAGTGTTTATCCCCGAATTGGCTGCCTTAACTAGTAACAGAAAAACAAAGTCAGAAGAGTACATGTAATATAATAATTCTCCCATCCCTTTTCATTTTGCAAGTGTTTGATTAAGTTGATATAAAGATAATCGAAATAATCAAATGAAAGTGGATGGGAGAATTATTATATTACACCTACTCCTCTGACTTTGTTTTGTTTTAATAGTTAAGTCAGATAATTTATGGGATAAACACTAAGCTAAGGTGGTGTTGGAAATTAATTAAATGGTGTATTGACAACAAGTTGTGGGATTAAATATTAAGAGAAAGATAGTTGAAACAGCTGAGTAGTTTTACATTGTGATACTAAGTTCAAATCTGTGTCTTTTTTATCTTGTTAAGGTATTTCAAGCGAAAATCTTTGTTACTTTGAGTCCTAATTTGATGGAAGGTTATACAGCTGTAATTTCTCTTCTTCAAACTCTTGAGCAACTACAGCAGAGCCGTCCAGACCTCATTCAAGGTAAAATGGTTAAAACGCTCGATTCCCTTATTGCTACTGCTGAATATTTTCAAAATGTTGTCGAGGAAACTAGCAAGAGTAGATTTGATGTAGAAACAATCAAATCTTTGGAGGAAAAAATAAGAGCTTCTGCTAGTTATACAGAAGATGTTGTTGAGCTGACGATTTATGAAATCATCGAAGGCTTAAGCTGGACATTTGGAATTGCACCTACAAGTTTACTACACAAGAATTTGCTATCAGTTGTTGGAAAAATCGATACACAAAAGAATGAAGTGATGGAGATTGTTTCTGAGTTTACCACACGCACTCATGATGATCAAATTCTTGAATGTGATGGGTATTCAAGCAACGCAACACTGCAACATTCGGAAGATGATATCATGCGCGGACTTGATGATGACCTGGAGATCATAGTTGAAAGACTGACAGGACAGTTGTCAGATCTAGACATTGTTACAATATCAGGTATGGGTGGCATCGGGAAAACAACACTCGCTAGAAAAGCTTATGATCACCTAAAACTCAGGTATCATTTTGACGTTCGTGTATGGATTACAATATCTCAAGAATATGGAAGAAGAAGTGTGTTGTTAGAGGCTTTACATTGCATTTCAAAGCAAACAGATAATGCCATAAAAAAAGATTATGACGTAAAGGATGACAATGAGTTAGCCGACCTGGTGCAGAAAAGCCTAAAGGGTCGAAGATACCTTGTTGTTGTTGATGATATTTGGAGTACGGATGTTTGGGATAGCATAAGAGGTATATTTCCTGATTACAACCGTAGGAGTCGAATCTTATTGACTACTAGGGAAACAAAGGTAGCAATGTATGCAAATCCTATTAGCCCTCATGAGATGAACCTCTTGAATTTAGAGAACAGTTGGAAGTTGCTTTGTGATAAGGTGTTTGGACCAAATAATTGTCATCCTCCTGAGTTGGAAGAAATCGGAAAGAAAATAGCGGAAAAATGCCAAGGACTACCCTTAACAATTTCAGTGATTGCAGGACATCTTTCTAAAGTGTCTAGGACATTAGGAAGTTGGATGGATGTTTCCCGAACCTTAGGTGAAATCATTTCTAGTCATCCAGATAAATGCTTAGGAGTGCTCGGTTTGAGTTATCACCACTTGCCTAATCACCTCAAACCTTGCTTTCTTTCTATGGGTAGTTTCCCAGAGGACTATCATGTTGAGACTTGGAGATTGATTCAATTATGGATCACACAAGGTTTTATAAGGAGGTCTGGAAGTGATGAAAGCTTGACCGAAGTGGCGAAAGATTATCTGGAGGATCTTATCAGCAGGAATTTGATAATGGTTAGAAAAAAGAGATTCAATGGTGAGATAAAAGCATGTGGAATGCATGATCTACTGCGTGAATTCTGTTTGACGGAAGTTGAACTGACACAGTTTATGTATGTTGAGACAACTAAAGTAGTCCCTACTGTTTCTGCACAGAGGCATTTCAGTTTTCAAAATTCAGCTATTCATCTTTTCCATCTATTCCCATCAGTTGCCAGATCTATCTACTTATTTCCTGACTTTACGCTCAGACCAGACATTGACGATTTCTCCCATTTCAAGCTTCTCAGGGTATTGGCAGTATTCAATGAATATAATTGTTTTCGTTCATTTCCACTTGTAATTACCAAATTATTTCATCTCAGATATCTCCAAATTCGATGTGATGACAATCCTCCTGCATCAATCGCAGAGCTTCAGAATTTGCAAACTCTAGTATATGGGAGAGAACGCGGTTATACAACTTTACCAGAGAAGATATGGATGATGAAGAAGTTGAGGTGTATACATATAAGGGAAGCCTTCTATTTACCTAGTCCGGGAAGAAAAAGTATCCTAAATAAGCATCTTGCGATAGGGATGCCAAATGTAGAGGAACTTTATAACCTCTCTATCACCAGTTGTACAAACAAAGTCTTTTCTAACATTCCCAATGTAAAGAGATTGATTATCCAAAATAATGCTTTACTGAGAACCGGGGATAGGGCCAGTTCCCTCGTTGATACCTCCAGCTTAACAAAACTCGAAGCATTGAAGTTTGTTAAAAAATTGTCTTGGTCTGCGCGGACATTGATCTCCATCAGGTCATTACCAATATCACTTAAGAGGTTGACTTTAGCTGGTTGGCATAGTTTTCGTTGGACAGACATATCAGCTCTTGTTATGTTGCCAAATCTTGAAGAGCTCAAACTTAAAAACTATGCAGCCAATGGTTATGTATGGAGATTGAATGATGAAGACAAATTCCAAAGCCTAGAGCTTTTGTTATTTTGCAACATAAACGTTGAGCATTGGGAAGCTAGCAGTGATAACTTCCCAAATCTAAAACGCCTTGTTCTGAAGGAATGCAGAAAACTTAAGGAAATTCCAATAGATTTTGGAGAAATTTGTAGTTTGGAGTCAATTGAGTTGCATAATTGCAGCACTCTTGCTGAGGAATCTGCAAGAAAGATCGAACAAGAACAAGAGGACATGGGAAACAATTGCCTTAAAGTCTACATCAATATATAACACTCAATGTAAGTTTTACACTTATGAATTAGTCCATCTTTGCTACATTTTACCTCCTTCAAAGTACGATTATGAATGCTGCTTTTATCTTGAATATATGCAGGGGACTGATGCTTATTTTGAGGGACTATCTGACAGTATAAGTTCGTTTAAAGGTAGGTTCTCTCTGAAAGATAGACTCGGATAGGAATAGAGAAGAGAAGTTGGCATCGAGCATACAACATTTTCTTTTATGTTATGTTTTAGGAATAAGCATGTCTTGCCAATTTGTGAAACTTTCAACTAGTTGTTGCGCAACATTTGACATATATGTATGAAAAGTAATATTTGATCTATATATATACAATATAATTTTTCAGCAAAGGGTGATGGATTGTAGTTTCGACTCTACAAAAAAGTAATCATATGATAAATAGTAGCGTAGCAAAGAGTAGGGAGATCTTTCTTTCTTAGAGAATGACACGATGGTTCTCTTTTTCCATTTAGTCAATAGGAAAGAGTTACTAAGGTAAGAATCCGGGGCGGAGTGATTACAAGTTTGCTAGTAGCTTTGGCTCAAACTCAACATACCTATTTACATTTGATGATTGCATTTGCGCTCCACCGGGTTCAGATGCCCGGGCAATTTCCCTGAAGCTCCTGTGTCTAGCAAATATCGACCCATCGCAACTCTGCATATCAAATGTCTTTCAACTCATCGCAACTCTGCGTATCAAATGTCTATATAATTATTATGTCGTTTGGATGACCTTATTGTCCTACTACTTTATACATTGTTTGTACATAAAATTTGAACTCTATTTTCATTAGACTCACCATGGTTGCAACCACCTTGATTAAAAGTTGTCATGGGGCATGTATGGTATAAAGCAAAATATTTTTTTTAAAACATGTGTCGCTCTCCAATGTTTGGTTGCAAAAAAAAATCACAGAAACTCTTTTCACCAAAAAAATAATTTTGGATCGACTGAAAAGATGGTAATTTCCAATAGAGACTGAAAAGATGGTAATTTTTCAAAGTAGCAAGATCAAGAAAAACATAATGATAAAAGATTGTCAGGTAACAAAAATCATCAATCTTCAAGTACTATCAGACTCAAAATGTCAGGAATGCTCAAAATTACCAAAACCATGTACTACATCCAACAATAACTAAAACGAGACCCAAAAATAGCAGGAATTACATTCCAGTGAACTAAGCGGCAATGGATGGCTTAGACGCTGCAGAGAGTCTGGACCTCTTCTTAGCCAAACTCTCGCTGCGCCTTTCTCTTTGTTCCTTCAACCTTGAAGCAAGAAGCTTCTGATAATCAGCTGCCTCTGACTTGGCCTTGGCAATTCTTTTCTTCTTGTCAGCAATTCTTGCCCTCTTTCTTTGCAGAGTCAATGGTGTCACGAGCCTCTGAATCTTAGGAGCTTTGCTTGCATTTTTCCCTGTTGCATAACACAGAATAATAGCGTTCAAAACAGGTCCATCCAAACTTGCTATACTATGAATACAAAACAGACAAGAAGGTGTGTGGCTATAAAGGAGACAACTCACCAGTCTTGGTAGTGAAATTTCTGCGATAGGTGTTGACATACTTCCTGACATCATCTTCCTTGGAGAGGTTAAAGAGCTTTCTGATCTTTGAAGCTCTCTTGGGTCCTCTCATCCTTGGCTTCTCAGTGTCAGTCAGTCCAGGCAGATCGTTCTCACCCTTTTTCACGATAACAAGATTCAGAACAGAAAGATCAGGGCTAACAATGCATCCACGGACAGATTTCCTTCTGCGTTCACCATTTCTCCTACCATATCCCCGGAAACAAGGAGTACCTATTTAATATAAATGAATTAGATAGTTAAACCAAAAGTTATTCACAGCAAATAGGCACCGCCTTTACAAGTTACAAGTACCTCGGTACAGCAAAAGGCGAACACGGCCTGGAGTTAAAACTCCCTGCTTCATGGGAAACCCTTGCTTGTCACATCCTCCCATGATCTTGAAGACATAACCCTTGAACTCCTGTCATCATAAGTACAACATTTTTTATTAACTCATGAAGTACCACTGAGAAAGTCATAGAATATATGCACCAGTTACTTACCTCACCCAGGGAATCTCCACTGACCTCTTGGGAGATCCTTTTGTCAAAAAAGGCTCGACTGCATTTACATATATCAGATTAGATAACACAAATATAAACTACCTAAGTGATGCAAATTCAAAACATTGTGCATACTGAAAATGCAACATACAAACTGCAACAAAATCTATCACTAACAGCTCTACATACCAAGCTAAAACAGTTATAAGTAATCACTATGCTGTCAACAACAAAAAATACACAATTCAATTTGTAATGCAAGGAAATACATGTTAATAGACAGAAAAATTGAAATATTATAAGTGCAACGAATAAAGTAAAAGAACATGCCAACCAAGATCAACCGATGTAAATTGCTTATTCTTATACTAAGTATTGATTTCTGAATTGTACCAAGTGATGCATTCATAGTTTCAAATTTAATATAACTGTCATTTGTGTTTTTAGTCTAGTGATGCTATCTAAAGATAAAGCCCATGAGCACATACAAATAGATAAATATTCCTAACTGTTAGCATCCAGCTCCAACAACATAAACAAGTATCCTCAACATAGATCATCTGGTGAAAGCAAATCAAGGTTTCCAAGCTACTAACAACCCACGGAACAATCGCTGTCATTCTTCAAAAAAAGTATACCACCATGGACCAAAATTATTAGGCCAGACTTCTGTCGTTAATAGCTTGTTTGGGTGGCTATTTTTTTAATCAATAACTTGTTGGATGGTTGTTACTCAATATTCATAACATATTGAATTGTTTTTAGAGACAACATTTGAATAGCTTGATTCATTTGATGTGGTTTTGTTGTTTGGTTTGATTGTATCATGAGCTAAGTTGCTCAGACTCTCTAAAATTGTTGCCGTACCCATGTCAGATCCTCCAAAAATGCACTACTTTTGGAGAATTCTTAGAAGAGTTCAGGCAACTTAGATTAGTAGATAATAACTTCAGAAACATTGTAAATATTAGGTTTATCAATACTTCTTATAAAAAAAAAACTACAAAACTTCATTTACCAGATTTATAGCTACTTATTACTTGTAAATATTTCAAGTTGTTAAATTCAAGCAATAACTAGTGACATTAACCAAAACAAATGCAAAACCCAAAATCAGCATAAAGAATATAGATGGAAAATGATACAAGGGAAAAAAAGAAGAAAGGTAACAGCAAACAATGCAGAAATTTGAGGTGGATATGTCTAATAGGGCAAAGATTGGAGTTGAATTGAAAAATAATAGAAAAACATAGGACTACAAAAGAAATATAACATAACATTGGTAACAAACACCCAAAACCAAACACCTACGATTAGACTATCCACACGATACATATAAATCAAAGAAGCAGAAATAATTTTTAAGCATTAAGCTACACATGCAAAGAGGAATTCATAATGTTTGGTACTTCCAGCCTTTCAAATGGATCATGAAAGGCTTATCGAAAATAATACAATTACTATCTTAACAAAACAAATCTATACAATTCCTTTTCTAAAAGCAGGCAAAATCAGAAAACTTCGTATTGATGAAAACTATAGTAGTGGCATTATAAATAATTGTTATAACAACGATTATACAAACAAACAAAAAAATGAAGGAGGAGATAAAATGAGGTAATTACAGTTTCTGGTCATCGTCAATCTCGAGCTTCTTCTGGCAACCAGTGGTCGGATTTGCAATGTTGAACTGCAAAACAAAAAAACAGAAAAATCAAAATGCATATATTGAAAATCAAACACATACATAGCTTATCTAATCCAATCAACAATCAACAAAAGAGAAGAAAAAAAAAGTTGCAGGTTCACGGCGGTACCTTCATCTTCGGAAGGCGGCGAAGATGAAAATGAAGAACAAGTGGGTGCCTTTCTCTTCTTCTTCTCTATTAGGGTTTTGACAGTGAACAAAGTTTCATCTCATATACTCTACTGCTACTTTTTTGGGCTTTGGGCCTATTCTCATCAACGATTTATTTTCATAATGGGCTTTTTTAGCTTTTGGGCTAGGCAAACTTACGTAAATATACTATGATAAAAAAATATTTATCATTTATGGCGATAATATTTTTTTTTCACTTTTTCACTTGTACTTCATTTATAATACAAATTTAATACATATTAAAATAATTTATTATTCACATATAATACAAATTTTAATGATGAATAATATATTTATCACACATTTTAATACACTTATAATACGATATAATATTTTTTTATCAAACAAACATGATATATTTTTAAAAAATAATTATAATATATATTGCATACATAATTCACTTTTAATACATATTACAGATTTAACAAAGCATTGCTATAAATGGTAATAAACAAAAAGTATCGCTAATATCAGTAATTATTTTTTAAAATGTATTAATTTATGTAATTTTTCCTTACAGAAATACACACTTTCTGTTTCACTTATTTCCATTATCCTCTATTATTTTTAAAAATATCCAAAAATTTTATTTCATTGATGTATCCGAGCTGCATATTAATGTATCTGAACTGGTCTTTAATGTATTCAAACTACATATTAATGTATCTGAGTCAGTATTTAATGTATCTGAGCTATATATTATGTATCCGAGTTAGTTTTTAATGGATCTGAACCAGTAGTCAATGTACTTGAGCTACATATTATATATCCAAGCTAGTTTTTAATGTATCTGAGCTACATATCAATGTATCAGAGACAATATTTAATGTATTTAAGCTACATATTAATGTATCCGAGCTTCAATTATTGTATCCAATTTTTTTAATTTTTAATGGATTAATGTAATTAAAAACTTATCGGGGATAGGATTGTAATTTTATATTAAAACTATGAGATTTAAATAATTTACACTTAAAAATTTCACGGGGCAACCTATTTTGACACCTTCAATTTTTACATGTCTTTTTTTGGAAAAAATAATTAATCAATCAAACTGCAAATACAATATCTAAATTTATGTTAATCGGAGTTTTACTATTTTTTAGTGAAGCCATTATGACTAAATCATACAATTTTTAGTGAAGCCATTGTGACTATTAAAAATAATTGAACAACAGTTTATGTTAAAATGAAGCAAAGTTAATTGAACTTCCGTCATATGTGAATATTGAACTTCACCATATGGACATGAACTTTATCTATTTCAAACTTTAGACTCAACTTCTAAGGTCAAAGTTTATTTATCATTTCAAATGTAATTGAAAATAATTACTTATTAATATAAAAAGAAATCTGCATATATTCTACCTCCTTCCGATCTCAATTCTACCTTCTCTCGATCTCACTTGTGAAATTTCACTTGTATGTTATTTGTTGTATCATATGATATCATAAATTAGAGAAAATTGACATAAGAATTAGTTATTCAACTTTACTAAAATATTAAACTTGTAGTAAGTTTCAACAAAGATGAGGCCAAGGTCTATTTGAAGCAACTAATCTTGCAAAAATCTATGAAGTTGGCTTTATTATATATAAAACTGAAATTCATAGCAAGATCAATTTTCTTCTGTAGAAGTATGTATCTCACCCAGACAACCTAGAAGTCACTTGAGTAAACAATTAGGTACATGAAATAATCAACATGTGGTCAAGTAATCTATACAGTCCGTCACAGTAATTATAATATAAATGTAATGACATACAAAACAGCAGCAAAAAAAAGCAAAATATATGTCCATACAGATTAAAACAATCATGTACAATTGCAGACTTGGAAGTATCACATCCAAAACCGCAAGCAAGGGTTATGAACAAGATCCACTCTTTTCTGGTATTGTTTCAGTGTTAGTAGCCTCACTGGGAGCTGGGAGTTTCTCGTTAGAAGCTAGGAGTTCTTCATCAACTAAAGAAGCCCCAGACTGAAAAGGTTTCTTGAATTGCACCAAAATCATGGTCATGTTGTCACATCCTTCACCTCCAGCAGTAGAAGGTGCCAAACACCTGTCGAGAACTCTTTCACATACTGCAGAAAGCTTGTTT